TTGCCTACGCATTTACCAGTCTCTTCATCTGTAAAAAAATGAGTTTTAAAAATATTGCTTAATAAAGATTAGTCCTTCATATACTTACATTCAAATCTATTATTATCTCTATGAGCCCAAACGCACCATTCAACCTGAGCACCACGTGGAAGATTCGGTACAACGATGTAATCCACAATAGCATTATTTGTTCGCTTCTCCCATTCCTTTCGTGCATCTGGTATATAACTAGAATGAGTCAAAAAACAAATACCTTGCACAATATCCCTGAGTTGCGTATTCGAGTCCATAGCTTTAACAATACGATCTATATGCCTCAACGTTAAACGACATTGCCTTTTAATATTTAAGTCCAGAATAGTCATACTACCAGGCACCAGTGGTATTTGGCCAGCAACTGAGATAATATCACCCACCTATCAAATAAGCAATTAAAATTTCTGTTGTGAAAAATGACATAGTTATTTTTTTTATATATATATTGATTAAAATAGATTCAGAATTATTAGTAAGTGTCATTTAAATGTTTTTTTATATTACTTATTAAATGTTCAATTTCTTATTTTCATTCTAAAAAATTTTATTTTGTTTACCTCACTGTTATGTTTCTTTTGTAAACCAGATGTGTGTGCGTGCGCGTATGAATGCGCACATACACACATTTTGTCTACATATACACACAGAGACGCGCACGCAAATTGGTTTGTAACGGTAGTACACTCACACGAACAGCTTGAGAATAAGGACCAATGTTTGCAGGTGCCCAGTGACTTATGCTCTGAACATGCATTGTATGTCGTTTGTGAATTTTCTTATCACCACAGTCTTGAGTTTCTTTATAGGCTATAGCATCAAGTACAACATGTATATTTAACGGACATTCCACACATACACGAACTGGTGGATTTGTTTTGTTCAAACATGAGATATAAACCTCGTTTATAGATATGTAATTCGACATATCTTTTATATATAACGTTACGGCAACGATGTCCGATATTTGAAGATTTTCCTTTTTGACTAGACCTAGACAGTCGATACGTGTGTTTTATCAATCTACATCAAATCCAAAATACGATATTACACGAAAAAAAAATTAACTAAAAGATGATTTAAAAAACTTAAAGTTTACCTACTGCTTAATTTCTCCAATGCTTCTCGCATCGCAGATTTAGCATCCGGATGTTTACCAGCGATACCGCCAAACCAGAACCAGCCGGTTTGATTTCTGTTTACTACTGGCACATCAGGATAGTCTTCTTCCTCATATAAAATTTCCATAGGACTCGGTGGGTTAAATTGACCTATTATTGTTGTAAATTGAATTAATTTATTATGTGATAAACAAGATAATCTGATCGATTAAAATTTACCAGAATTCGAAGTTCTTAGATTATTGTCTGTACAATCATGTTCATCGTTTTCATCTTCCGATAAATTACAACCGTCATGTAATTCTGGTCCAACTATTTCTGTAATGTAATCAGATGGGGTTTTAATAGGAACATTTTTTAATCTTTCTTGTAACGTTAATCCTTCTAGACCATCCTGAAAAAGTTTTTCTTGATTACTTATGGATTTATTCTGAGATTCATAAAAATATAAAATATTTCAACATACATTTTTTTCTTGTACATGAATTTTTTTAAAGTTTATATATCCAACGGGTGCTATGTTATCATTTGAGTGAACTACACTTTCATATTCATCTCTAGAATAAAATAAAAAGTACATATATGTACTCGTTTTATATTCATGTTGATAATAAATTTGAGAACTTACATTACAATACTTTTACTAAATAAGGGGCAATCTAATATAAAGGTTTCATATTCTCCTCCCTCTCCACATATGTTAACACCATATTTTTCTTTCTATAAGTAAACATATAGCTATTAACATAACATATATATATCTACTCGTTTACAATTTCAATAAGTTTTCTTTGCATATACTTTTTTTATATGAGCTATTTATATTTGGAATACTTCCAATATAAGATGAAATCAAAGGAGACTCTTTTGTATTAAATTAATCATTAAGACATTTTACTTACTATTTTGGCAAGATGGGATTGCATTTCAGAAAGTGATTTACCCAAATGCCTTGGTTCAAGGCCTAAAGCTGCCACCTTGATTATAACTGCATTTACAGAACTTTCTATCATTTCTTTTAACAATTCATCTTGGTCTCTTCTCCATAGATATGATAGAGAAACAAGTCCTAAACGACTACATCTGAAAATAAACTTTCAATACATTAGATATTTTTGTCTTTATCAAATTAAAAAATAAAATTTTTATTTTCTGTTTCATAAACTTTTTCATAAGAATTAAACATTTAAAAATTTGCATTAAATAATTACACATTTTCCACACGAATTCGTTGATAATCACTCAGAATAGCTCCTGATGAAACAGCTTCTATATTCTCTTTTTCCTAAGGAGTCAACGAAGTTAAAATAATTAAACTAACAAAATTATCCTATAATGTATTTTTTATATCTTACCTTCACTTTACTTAACAACCTAAAGAGATCTTCAACTTCATCATTTTCTGTTGGATAATAATACTTTTCTTGCATTTTTGACCTACCAAAGGTTGGTTCACGATACATTGGTAAACCTATAGCTTCTGCAATGTATTCAACACCTTGATATCCAACAGTTTGAAACATAAATGAATCTAGTTCATCTATAAATCAGTTGTTTCATTAGTTATAATATATTTAAATAGATTGAAAGATTTTATCAGCTATTATTTACCCTTTCCAACAGGATATAAATTAGCTAGGGCCACAATATCATGGCCTGCAGCTATACATTGCATCATATTAAAGCATGAGTCTTTACCACCACTGACTAGTGCAACAACCCTCATTTTGTTTAATTTACACTAGAATCTCTCAAAAAAGCTTACCAAGAGCTTAGAGTAAAGTTAAATCTCAATATATTGTTTCAGACAAACATCTGTAATAAAGCAATAAAAAAAATCCAATGATAATGATAATCTTATCATATTGACATGTCAAATGTAGAAATAATTTTTTATGACAATAGACAAATAAGATTATAAATGGTTTTTTAGATACTATGTATATCTATATGTATGTATAAATGTATAAACAGATACAGAAAAAATAGCTTAATAACCCAAATATTTATAAAGAATCATTCCTTTATTTGCAACATTTATATGAGGACAAGCTATTTAAATATAGATTAACAAATACTTACTACTAAGGGTAAGAAAATATCTAAACCACAAACAACATAATGATAGGAGCTTGTAACATATTTTAGATTACATATGTATATATACTACTTGCAAATATATATTAAGCCAAAATTAAATTTATAATGTATGTACACAGATGTTTATCTTGAATGATCTAATATATAAATAATACAATAAGCATTATTATTTTTCAATAAATATTTAAGAATATATTCAGGAAAGTTCTTTTTTTCTTTTCTTAATTCTAACATGTTTTCAATAGAGAAAAAGATATGTACTATCGTAATGAATAAAATCTCGTAGGAGAGAAGCACAAAAAGGATATCAGATATTCAATTTAACTTATTAATATGTGTAACAATTGGCTGGTGAACAAAAATTAATCACTGTACTATTCTAAACAGTAAACGTCACATAATCCGAAAAAATGTAGACAGAACCTAGATTCTTTTTAGAAGGGTTATAGAACTTGATGTGAAATAAAATATCTAACATTAATGAGATGTTAAGGAAAAAATCAGCTATTATTAAGGAAAAAAAGAATACCTACGGAGAGATTTTTTGGTTATTGCCGATCTCGGCTAAACGAGAAATATTACGGAATGACGCCCAGCAATGAATTGCACGGGGAACGCAAACAATAATTTCGAACTTATGTATGCTAAAATAAACTCTAAATTCTCAACAAATGTAATATTTACATTAAATTGGCGATGAAAGTTCCTTACACGGCAAAGTCTATCAGAGACTGCGATTGCTTGATAGTGGCGCCTCTTAGTGATAAAACTTTCAACATAAACCGTAGAATTGAGGTTATGACTTATTTTAATTCTATGATTATTTATAACAATTATTAAACAATTTACTTTCTGTATTCGTCCTTAATATACGTTACATTTACTATTATCACAAGCTAATATTTACAATTTGGCGAATTTGTTACAAAAATTGATGTAGTCTACGAAAAATTCTCGGACATAATTCGTGCCACTGTACCTCGTGACATCATCAATGTATAAAGTATATCGATGTCTCGTTATTTCAATCTGCTTCTATGCTATAATTTACTGATTGTGATATAACTTAAACCAAATTGTAATTTAATCGTAATTCCTTCCTTTTTATATATATTTATTTATAATTTTTCATACATCCATCTACATCATAAAATAAGAATATGATTTGTTGCAAAGATGAAATATATAGCATCAAATACCAAATGTGTATTGTAATACAGTTGGGATGAAATAATTTTCTAATCCATGCTTTCTCGAATTACATAACTTCAAGTCATTTGTTTATTACCATCAGTATCATTTGTTTAGGGTTTTAGCTGGCGTATTCCAAATATAGTTATAGGATAGATTATTGAAATTAATATGTATGTCTTCATTCATGATTCGATAAAATAATAATATATTTTGTACAATATAACAATATTTTACAATTATAATTGTTCATTTTTTGAAAATAAATAGATTTTTCTGAATTGATTCAAAACGTTATGTATTTTTATATATAAGTAATATAATTGTGTCAAAAATCGAATGTTTTATTATTTTTGCATGTATAAATAAAATTGTTTTGCTTAAGTTATGTATAAATTCAATTGAAAATACTTGTATCATAATTACAAAGAAATTATTGCAAATATTCGTTTTTTTTTTTAAATACGATTCATTTCGAAATACATTGAAAATATACGTTGCCATCTTTACTTAGTAAATCGTTGACCAATCGGATCACTTTCATAAGCAGCCATTTTACTTTCGCTACGGTCGCACGAAGCGTGAGTCGAATTCTACCGAACACGGTGTAGTTTCAAGCTATCGCCTGCAACGCAGGTTTCGCTGATTTTTCGTACAAAAATCTCTTTGCTAGGGTAATAATTTGATACAAAGTAAATCGAAGAAAAGTTGGAGGATGGTTCTGGCAGAGAGAAACTCAGAAAATGTTAGAAATGGGCGCAGATCGAGGGGCCCCAGCCCTAATGGACAGACGGAATCTTCGAGCGAAGAAGACGGAGGTACTAATTTCATATTGCACTTCAATTAGTATTATAATTAGCGTGATCTTCTTAATCCTTATTTCAATCGATATATCATAAATATGCAATAACTCTAAGAATATATTCTCCTTTGGAAGTTTGCATACTTTTATATTGATCGAACGCGAAAATCCGTAAGGATCTTCAAACAGCGCGCCCCACTTTTCCTCTTTTTAAGCTTCTCCCATTTTCAGCCAATTCCTGTGAATATCTCTATGAAACAATTTTAATTCACTTTTTCGGTATTATTGAACTTTTATTTCTATATATCGTTGTAATAATATATTATTTTTTTTAATCGAACTAAATGAAGTATAATTGAGTCTTTATATATGTAATTGTATATTAAAATAATTTGTAGCTATTACTGTATATTATCAATAAAATATAAATTAAAAAAACATTTTTGGAACTTCATGTTTTAACAAACTATACAATAAGTTCACTTATATTTTTCCATTAATTTGAAATTTCTACATTTTTAAAAAATTATAATTTCTTTAAGTTCCAGCAGAGAAAATCCGTGTTGGGAGGGATTATCAAGTTATTGTTCCAGAATTTGTTCCAGTCAGTGGTATGTTATTTAAACAGAATTATTAATTTCAGATTCTTTTTACATATACATTGTAATTTAAAAAAAAGTTTCTTTCAAGTTCATATTTTTACTTTCATAATTATATATTTTATATTTTAGAACGACGATTAGATCAGTGTCCTGATAGAGCATTATTGGTATGGTCTCCTACTACTGATATACCTGATCAAAAATGTAAATATCAACTGTTTTATTTATTTGATTTTTTATAATACATATATCATACAAATTTTTCGTTTCTTTATAGTGGATGAATATATCATATTAGCAAAGGAAAAGTATGGCTATAATGGAGAACAAGCATTAGGAATGTTATTTTGGCACAAACATAACTTAGAGCGTGCTGTATTAGATTTAGCGAATTTTACACCATTCCCTGATGAATGGACAGTAGAGGACAAAGTTCTTTTTGAACAAGCATTTCAGTTTCATGGGAAAAGCTTCCATCGAATTCGTCAAATGGTAGAATCTTTCCTGAATTAAAAATTAAAAAATACAAGAATTATATAAAAAATTGGTAAATTTTTTGTCTTATATTTACAGTTACCAGATAAATCTATTGCCAGCCTTGTTAAATATTATTATAGCTGGAAAAAGACACGGACTAGAACATCACTAATGGATAGACAAGCAAGGAAACTAACGAGTGGTGGGAAAGAAGGAGAAAATGGTAGTGAAAATGGGAGTGAATTAGGTTCCAATACAGACAGTGAATCAGAAGAAAAAGTAAGACATATTTTTCAGATATTTAACAAATGCATGCACTTGATGTCCATAAAAAAGAATAAATTTTCTCTCTCTCTTTCTATCTAGAATAATATTTCATATTATAAAATATCTTAAAATATCAGTTTTTAAATATTTTAGTAATTACAAATATAAAATTGTGTTTTATTAATTAGAATAACAAATTTATTTTCGTTGCTTGTTAACTTTTTTTACAAACAAAGTTAAAGCTTTTTGTTTCCATTTTAATTTTGCTATCTTTTTTTATCACGTTATGTTAAGTAAATTAACGTTTGTGCTATTGCGTGTGGTAGTGTTCTCCTCTTGCTGCATTTTAATGCCATGGCACTGGCTCAAAATCGTACATATCTAATATGCAGTAATACGCGTCTAAAAAATGTATCCACACGGTAACGTATTCCATGCGGTGAATAATACGAAAATGGTAAAAATACACTGATCTACAATTGGTAAAAATTATCAGAACTATGAGTTAAGAGACGAATATGGAATGAACTAATATAATATAAAAAAAATGCAACTTAGATACATTAATATTAAACTTCTATTTTTTGTATCTTAATAATTTTCTGAACTATTAAAAAGATCTATATAACATCAGTAATACAAGACTAAAGCTAGTTAAATTATCGTTGCATCGTGTATGAACGTAAATGTGGAACGTTCTAGAAATGGACGATCCACCGCGGAATACGTCGTGGAAAGAACCAAGCTGTGCCAGGAAGCCAAGGCACTGACGCCAAAGCCCCATCCGACTCGGAAAACGCCCCTCAGGTTCAGGTACTCAGCCTAAACCTTACCCTGTTGCATAGCATAGTATGCTTATTATATTTTGCTATTATTTTTACCGTCCCGTATTTATTATTTCTCTGCCCTACATCTTTTTTTTTTTCTTTATCAAAAAGAACAAAATTTTGCGGAAGTAATCTACATAGTAGAATTGATAGGCTGAAACCTTACTGAGGAAAAAATGTTGAAGCCCAAAAATTATCTAATACCAGGGAGATCTAAATATCTCATGAACTTATTAATTCGAAAGAAATTATTGGCTTTTTATTACTTAAAAGTTTGACTAAAATAATAAAACTATAAAAAGTTCGGAGCTTCTAATTTTTTATGGCGGGCCGAATTAACGTTTCTAGATAAAATTTTAAATACTCTCATGTATATATTTCATTCTTTTCGTAATAAAAAATTTCTAAAGATTAGTTTAGTTACATGTTAGATAAATATTAACGGATGGAAAGGGTGGGGGGATTGTCAGAATATATTTTAAAAGGGTATTATGTGTTGTAGGGCTCGTGTAGCAACTGTGGCGTTGCTTGTCATAGTGTTCGTGCGACGCCGAAAGGACATGCGTGTCACAGCTGCTATCTGCACTGGAGGTCAGTGAGCGCAAGTTAAATAAAATTTCAATAATTGAGAAACTATTAGAACTTTTCTTAAAATTAGAATGTTCATGCATATATTTCATCATGAATTAGAGAATTATAGGAAATTAATTTTATATATTTAATGAGTAAAGTAATAATACATGCATCACAAAACTTTTTAAAATATACTTTCATAAGAATGCATGAGCATTCTTATTTATGTTAGTTAATTTTAAAGGAAGTTCCAAGAACAAAGTAATTGTAGATCAGATATATCACTGATAAGAAAATATTAGAAGTATACATTACAAATTTATTTAAATGATTTAGGCGAACTGGTGTAGCAAGACCATTAAGTTCCATGCCAGGTCGAACAAATAAAAGAAAACCACCTCGCGGTCTCGTTGTTAATCACGATGATTTAGCAGCATTGGCTGGTCAACCCAATCAAGCAAACAACAGTTTACAAGCGATTGACACCGAAATTGTTAGCCTAAAACGACAAGTACGTTTTACAATAAAATAATATGAAACGTGTGGATACATTTTTATATGGAAAATCTATATAATTTATTGTTCGATTAAGAAAATCTGAGTTAGCTGAATAAAATTTTTAATTTTAATACACAGATACAATCAAACAAACAGCAAGTAAGCGCATTGAAACGTAAAACAACTGACGGTATTGATGATTTACGACCACCGGAAGTATCCAGCCGTATAAATGCTCGTTGGACAAATGACGAATTGCTCTTGGCCGTTCAAGGTGTCCGAAAATATGGGAAAGATTTTTCTGCGATTGCTGATGTAATCGGAACTAAAACAGAAGCTCATTTGCGGTCATTCTTTGTAAATTATCGACGAAGGTATAATTTAGATGCTGTCTTGAAAGAATATGAAGCTGAAAACGGTCCAATATTAATTGACGATGAAAAAGAAGAAAAGGTAAAATATTTACAACTTATTCTGCTTACATTATTAGTAGATATTATTGGATATCAATGTTTCAGATGGATGTGGATCAGCCTAATGAAACAGCAGAGTCATCTCAGAAAACGAAATCATCCGTAGGTCTTGGACAAACTGCTAAATAACAAATGACTATACTTTTGAATACCGGTAAGCGCGAAAAGAATAATCACAGGCACTTTGATCATCGATAATATTCTGTAAAAGGTATTTGTTCATAAGTCAGTTTGCAATTTTTATTTTTAATTTTACTACGTTATGCAATACTAATGCAATATTGCATTAGAAACATCAAGTACAAGCAACAGTTTTCATTGAACTTATGCATGAATCAATAATTCATAGAAAGGAATAGGAATAAATTAATAGGAACAAAAATATGTGAATTTATTTAGCTAAACTTAGTTTTGCGTATGTCTAATATGGATTTTATTAAGCAATATGGAAGAAACGTAATTCTATTAAAGACATCTGGTATATAATTCTAAGCATAGATAAATTAGATTAAAGATGAATACATCCAAGTGTGAATAATAAGTATGTCTGCAACATCCATTGTACATAATCATGGATGCATAATAAGTTTCTTTCAAATAAATCAACTGTATTATGTAGCATATAATATTTGTAGATATACGTAAGGGATATCGAAGTCCCATTTTAAATGAAAGTAATTTAAAAAACAAAATTATTCACTTTAAATGAAGAAAGATTCAAACATTAATAAATGAATGAAAGATTGATGCAATTGTAAAAATATTGAAAAAATGCTATAGTTTACAACATTCAGAAAGTCAGGTATGGTTCAGTAACTTCGATTTCATATGCGAATAATCAACGGTCTTCAACGATTTTTTATCTATGCTCAAATATTAACTAGATATTATTCTAACAATTTGTCGCTACAATGAAGCTGTGTTTGTATTAATTTAAAGTTTTGCATGCACTTTATGTCGACTTATGTCCTGTATATTTAATTTTTTATAAAATGTTTATAAAAAATATACATGATCTATGTTACGAAACTTAGAGTAAAAAGAATATATAGATAAGAACAAAATATAGAGAGCAATCACTTATTTATATTCCATTTATGTAAAATGTTCTTAAACAGTTTTCATGATTATTTCGTAATTCTATAAATCAGAAAAGAATTCTTGTCTTGTGCCTATGCATTTTTGGGCGTATGAAAATGAAGGAAAGAACAGTAAAATTTAAAAATATTCAATTTTAAAAATTGAGAAGATATTTCTCTTCTTTCCCCACTGCTTCCTATTTATATAATATGTATTCAAAGTATAACATTGAAATTTAGCGAGAATTAGACAATCTTCCATTCTTTATTAAAGTAAATAAAAATTTGGAGAACAAGAGAAATTCTTCCAACTTTTAAATTTTTCATATAATTGATTATGAACACTTGAAACTGTAACAATTTCATACTGTTCAAATCATTCGCACGTATATTATGATTCACATCATTTGTGAAGGTACTAGCAAAAATTTAATGCAATCATTGCCAAGTTATTTTACGTAAAAATGAAATCAATGATCGCGTTGAATGATATATTATTAAAAGAATAATGCTCAAGGATATAATACAATTTCATTCACATTTTAACAAAAAATATTTAATATTTTATTAAAATACATCACAATAGAAATTTTTTTATTAGTTTTATAGAATATCAAACTTGAGAGATTGAAAATCGAATATATCAAATTGAAAAGAATATATTTTTATGGCTTGCTGCTGCATACTCAATCCATGTGTATAAAAAACAAAAAGAAAAAAATAATGGTTCCTGATATTTCTATTGTATTATGCAAAATTATGTGTATACTAAAATTGTCCGTACTTCAAACTGACGGTGCTCCTATATTTAAAAGCACAACATTTTGTACTCCTATAAAAAGGGAGTATTTTACTTGTATAATAGAAAATTATATTGAATAATTTTAATTCGACAAAATCTTTATACAAAAAAAGATGTTTTTTATAAATTTGCCGAAATGCTTGTGTAATCTTAAATATTCGAACAAATAAGTGTATGTATATTAATCCGTATACACAATTCTATCTTAGAAGAAATTATGTCGTGAATTTTCTAGGTTTTAATAATAATTGTAAAAGATATAAATTTAGTTTGGAAGAAATAATTATTATTAGACATCATTCTCAAGATAAACTTACTTCCAATGATTTTTTACTGTTTTGCGAAAGAATATTTAAACATCATATACCTGTAACTTTGCTTATAGTTTCATGTGTACATCCACATTTACTATTAATAGCAATAGCAATAAGACTATTAGTTTAATGTTTGTCTAGGGTAGAGTCTACTACTTAATGTTAACTGTTTGAGTCTCAGAGGTCTTTGAAAAAATAGGGTTGAAAAATCCCGAACAGCGCGATAGCGTTTGTCTTAATCAATTGCGAAGAGAAACAAGCGTATCATATAGCGTCATCATATTTGTTATTTTTATGAAATATTATATAATTTTATTAAATTATATTATATTATATCTTTATGAAATTATTATATATGCATACTATAAGTTTATAAATATTTCAAGTTTTGTTCAATAACAATTATTGAGAAGATAACAATGAAATACAAAGTACCATTAGTCGTCCGTAACGTTCAAATGTACTGGGACTTTTCGTCACAAAATCTAAACAGCGCGATCACGCTACTTGGGATTCAAACGGTTAATAAAAAAAAAACACTCGCAAGCGTGTGTGCACGATTTCTTTAACAAAAGATGGTATTCTTGAAAATGATTATGAGATTAGGTACACCGTAGAAATTATTATATAACATGGATGTAAATAGAAATGATCACCAAAGAAATTTACTATAATCGTTAGCGACATATCACGAAGGCGGATGAAATAGCCGACAAAGACTATCTCGTCAAACAAATAGTTTGCAAAACTCAAATGAAAAAGTATATAGTACGATTAGAAGTAAATAGAAAATCATTTGAAATCTTCTGTTCTTTTTTTAATACAATATTCCATTCAAACATAATGTAATGATTGTAAAATATTAAAACTTTTAATGAATAATACCTACATAGAAAAGCATTTGAATTTACTTGTGTAATAAGTAAGGAAAAGTTAACTTTCAAAAATATTCAATGAAAAATAATCTGTTATGTTCTGATCGTTTTCATATTTTTAGTACGTGCAATTTTTTCACACACGAAAGCATGGCGCAGTGTTCAAATATATTATTAAATATAAGCTTTCATAGTTTAAGATTGAAGAAGGAAGTCACATTCAAATATTTTGCTATGTGGATGTTCTCTTTTCCTGCTAAAGGAACTTCTTTCTTCAATACTTCTTTAATTACGAATGCATTTAAACAAAAGATGATGGGCTGTCAGCGAATAAAGGATGTTTCAAACGAATGAACTTGCTTGATGTCCAGATATACTTTTGAAATTGAATTTTTGTAATTTTATATATACTATATATATTGCCAATTATTAGAATGTTTGCGTAAGGTTGTTCTGATAATTCATGAAGCACATTGACGTTATACAATACTTTTAACTTGCACGGACAACAAAATTTTAGTTTAACGATTAGAAATATTATGTATTTTGAACAATATTACGATAAATTTACTACATTTGATAACATTGTGTAAGGGTGTTAATTGTAGATACGGTAAAGTATGAACAATGGGACATATTAAAGGATGAAAATTACACAGTATGTAATATACATATATTCTATGATCGTTCAAAATTTTCTAATATTTTAAGGCAATTAATGTAGCATAATGTAAATATGAAGTTACAAGCTTCGTGAATGTATACACATTCATATGTCCGTAAAATGTACAGATGTATTTATTCAGAACTACATATTAAATATTTCTTGTGTACTTTGATAGGCTAAAAAGCATTTATTTCGAGACACCCTAATAAAAAAATGATAAGTATCTAGTTATAAAGAGTAATCCGTTATTGCTTATCATTTATTCATTAAAATTGTACATTACATATTATTATTAGCTATAATCCTGTATTACAATTTTTTGTTTCATTAATAAATAATTTACATACTTAGTATTTAAAATAGTTTCTAAATTCATATCATCGAAATAACATTCTCGTTGCAGTTGATATTTCGATTCATGCGTTTCATTATCGCATCCTATCGTACTATCTTTTGTAGAGTAGTTATCATGGCTGTGCTCCTTTCGTTTCATGTAATAGAAACAAAGATTTAGAAACTTTGACTCTTCTCTATAAAAAGGATTATCATCATGGTAGAAAGGATTTTCAATAGTCGTGTTACTATCAAAATACTTAATACTGTGTGTGAACAATTTTACGAAAAATAGATTCATATCGTTATCCGTAGGAAAATTTAATTTTTCGAGCATTACTTCGGATAATAGTCTTTGATATATAAGTTCATCATGCCCTAAAGCATTATATTCAGTATTAATTGTCTGTAGAACATGCGCCCTTAAATTTTCCGCAATAATTTCGCGTATCTCTGTAATTTCATCTTTCAGTAGAATTAAACAGCAATGTAAAATACTTAATTTAGTTTTGCTTGTTAATTCTGCAAATCGATGAACTAAGAATTGCATAAGTTCAACTGCGATTCGTCTCATATGTTCTTCTTCATGAATACTTAATTTGAGTGTATGGGATAGTATTTCGTCTATCATTGCCTCGTTTCGAGAAAAAATTATCAATATGCATTTTAAACTCCATAGATTATAATATCTTACAGTTTCTAATTTTTCAATAAACGAAATTTCTACTATTTTCGTAATATCTAATTCATTTATATCTAATAGCGGCCAATGCTTCAAAGTTCTCAAAATGTAATTTATCATTGCATTTAAAAGTAGTTCATTACATCCGTATTCATTCAGCAATACACGTTTGAGTAAAATTTTCAAAATTGGGATGCTATGTGACACGTGATTTAAGAAAGAAATACTTTGATCGATACAAGGGGAGTACAAAATTTTATGCAAAATATCAATATTAACGTTATTAGTACGGTTTATATAGTCAGCATATAACTTTATAGAAAGGTCTACAAATTGGAAAAATCCTGGTTTTATTTTCTCAGAAGAGAGTAAAAATCTGTTTCCGTTAAAAATAAATATGTCTTCTTTAGATATCTCATCGGAAATAAATTCTTTTAGTTGTAAAAATAGCATTTCAATCATGTAACATATTTGTGAGCTACATTCTCCTTTCGACATATTACTCCAAATTCGTAATATTTTTCGAAATCGCAGGCATTCTGGAGATTTTTCTAATCCACGATCAGCGTATCGCTTAACATTCGAACACACATTTATACTTTCAATTTCAACGGATAATTTTTCTTTGAGAAATTTCATAGTTAACAAATAACCATGGATTAAATTAACACTCTGGCATGAAGAAATATCGCACTTTAATTTCTGAAGCTCGAGTTGAATTTGTAAAAAGTCTGTTAATGCTGCATATGCCTTTGCAGCTAAGAATCTAACATAGAAAATAGGATTTCCAATCAGCATATAAAGTAAGTATTTTACTTTTGATACATATTTTTGCGAGGAATAATCAATTAAGTTGCAAGCACTACATGAAAATTTCGAAAGGAGTATAAGAATATGAACAATATTCGAATGTAAATATAGAGCAGTAGAGAACCTTGTAAAGGTAAATGAAAACCTATGTAATTCTTTCATGGCATAGTCTGCAAGTAGTGGATAATGCGTAACAAAATGATTAATGGAATAACCATTTCCAAAATCTAAGGTATCCCCATAACTTTGGCCTATTAATCTTGGAACTATCGAACCAAATAATTGTAGACTTGCATTTCTGATAGTCCATATTTCTGATTCCAAATATTTGAAACAAGTTAGCGAAATTCTTTCCATATATGGAGTTAACTGTGCGTTTATTTCTTTATCAGCTACTAAAGCCCGTAAAAAATATAAACGTCTTGCCCATGGAGAATCGTGTTGAAATTCTATGCTCTTCAAATTCTCATCAGAAACATTGTCCAACAGGTCTAATAATTTTTGTACTGCAAAATGCAAAAGAGGTCTATCTTGTCGATTATCGCTAACGACAATTCTATGAAACATAATTGATAATCCAGCACCTCTTCTGGTAATGTTTAAAGAATCCATAAAATTATTTTCTAATATACGCAATATATGTGTTTTTGGCAAATTAGAATACTTAGTTTCTTTGCACAAACATCTGAAATAACATAATCGCTAGATATTTAATTTTCCTATTATCCTATCAATATGAATTATACCTCGTTAATTGTCCAATTGCTGTACCCGCTGCTTCCACTACACCTTTGTGTCTACATCTGAGTAATACAGTAATGATAACATTTGCGGAACGTTTAACTGTATCGTCGGAATACATTAATGTACCTATTTCACAAGCTATTTCACAGGAGACCTACATAGAAAATATGCTTTATTATCTTACTTTTGTTTACAAAGAGATATATTTATTAAAATTAAACGATAAAGGTTAAAACTTTTACCTTTAAAGACATCCAAATGCAAGAGATGAGTACCTGATGTGCAGGAGTTAAACTTAAATCATCGAAATTGATGTTGTCTATCTCACTATTTTTAATAGCTTCGTTAATCGCTAATCCCATTTCTGCGAACGACGACGAATATTCTACAAATTCAGTTACAATTTCATCTAAGACAAGATATATTTTAGACTTCAATGAAATTGAATAAAATATACCTGTATTTTTGGATTTTGAAGAAAATATATATAGAAAAAAATCTGTAGCATCTTCCAACAGATACAATATTTTTTCAATAAATTCTGAAGATATATTAGAACTTTCTTGACCATTTTGAAAAGCAATATTTAATAAAGCAGTCATCACGCCATAAAATGGTTTATTTTGAACAATTGCCTTTAGTACATCTTCTTTCATTTGCATTAACTGATTTGTAGCTTCATTAAACAAGAAATCCGAATATTTCAACTGATCATTATAATCCTTATGATCTTGTAAAATATTCAAAGGCAACCATTTTACTAAAATTGACATAAGAGCCGCACCACTTTCAATTTCATAGAATTTAGAAGAATTACAATTTTTCAATGCCGTGTGAAATAATATCTAAATCAATAATGTCCTTTTTTTTTTAATGAAAAACCAACTGTTGAGAAAAAGATGAATAATTTCTTACCTGCTTTTCTACATGAGACAAAATATCTTTATTGAAATAATTAAGAATAATAGAAGCTGCTAATTGCTTGACATCAAGTGCAGAATCTAGTACAAGTCTTAATAAGATAAATAAACTCCTTCTGTTTGTGAATTTCCAGTTTCCAGTTATTATTAAATGTTTTTCCAGCAATGAAATGCACAAAACATTTTCGACATTGGACTTATTTGTGACAAAGCCATTGGTAAATGAAAGTATGGCTCTATACAAATTTAAGCCTAGAATTTTTCTTTGATAACAAGAACCAATTTCAAAACAATCCAAAAAGAATTCATGCAACCAATGTGTAATGTAGTACACATCTTGTATACTGTTTGAATTATTATCACACATTTTTAGAACGTTAGTATAAAATATTTTAAAATATTTGACAATCCCATCTCTCATGTACACTGTTGTACTGTTTGCATTGTGCCATAAAAAATGTTGTACTGTAAAAAACTGATCTCTATTTTCATTGTATAATCTAGTTATTTGATAACAATTTATGGCAAATCCATTCAATCTTATGATTTCTTTATTATGATTTATATAACATTCTATCCTTGCTTGTTGTGGAAGATCAATATGCATTTCACAAGCCAATTTTTGGAGATGTGAACGTAAAAAATGTTCTCTTATATCTGTGATTAAATTCCATAAATAAGGTAAAAGATTTCTGTACTTTTTAACAACTGGTTCAAGCCAATGTTTGTAAAGTAACTGAAGAGCATTATGATTTTCACTGAAATTAAATATCCATATTTTGACACTAGAATTTTCCATTATTTGTAAAAGTTTGGTAGTTTAACTCACTTCTCTGGCGATTCCCAATGGTGAAAGAGGTAGTTCATTATATCTCCAAAGGCTTCTTTCCATTCATTTTCGCTTAATTTTTTTATAATAACAAGATAAACTTTTGTACCAGCAGAACGCAAATAATATTTTGTTAAGCTAGTACATAAAGAAAATAAAAAGTCATAAGATGTAATAATTTTGATTTTGTCCAAAACTTCGCAAATTTCCGCAAGTATATCATATTTTAATTCGTTCTGCCAAGAAATTGTATTGACACAATGCTTAAACAGATACTCCAAATATCCATTATATTTGTTTTCCATTATTTTCAGGTACATGTTAAAAATAAGTGCTGAATTTTGCTTACTAATGTCGTTGATAGCGTTACACCAATTTGAAAAGATAATTGCTTCAAGTTTCTGCTCTACTTCCGAATAAGTATTCCAAAAAGTTGTGTTTATGGTTCGTTGCAACCACATGTATAATATTTTGTATGCAAAATAAGAATGTTTAGTATATCTTATACAATGCTCAAATATAACATCGAAAATGAGAAAACAAATATCATTAGAATATATTTTACTGCAATTTACTTGTAAATACCCATAAGCGCAAATCAGTTTAAATAATCCGGATTCAACAGTATTATACTTTTTATTGAAGATGTATACTTCATTATGTTTAAAGCTCAAAAGATTTGTAAAAGTTTCTTTTAGAAATACTAAATTAGATTGCATTGACAATAAAGCAAAAAATGTATGGGAAGCCAACAAGGTTCTCTCTCTTTTTATTTCTGTATTCGAAGCAAAAGCTCCTATAATGTGTATATAAACTGGTTGCCATTGTTTTAAATGTTCATTATTCCAGGATTCTTTGCATGATGAAGCAAAGCTTATCAGTTTCTAAAAATACAACAACAAAATACTTTACGTTTATGTAAAGTAATCTAATAGACATTAATCGTTTTAAATGAAATTGTACATTAATAGAATCATAAAATACTAACTCTGAAAATAGCAGTGTCTTCTGCACATGTTTGTAACTCTTTGATTACATAATTCAATTCCATATTTTTTGTACACATTTTGTTATTGTAATTTAATAACAGAAGATTCAATTTAATAATTATGTATATTATATATATTTTTGTACCCTAGTCATACGTGTTTGTATTTGTTGTTTGAAAATTAAAAACTGCTTTTGAAGTTTGTGCAGTTGCATCAGATTTGTCTGTTTTGTCTCCATCAAGGCTGCATGTCCTGCAATTAATATGTAATAATAACATTCTTTAAAATTTTGTTTTTTAAACATAAAAAATTAATAGAAAACATAATTAATGCCTGCAAAACCATAAAGAAAGTTTAAAAATTCAAAAAATAATGAATTATTGGTTTAAATGTAAATAAGCATATCATCCAGCAGCCATAAAATTAGCCTCTATGTGTAAAATAATTGAGAAAGCAAATATGATCTGCTTTTAATATAATGGATTAAGGATCATCATACAATATAAGAAGACAATATTGTTACTTGCATTTGTTTTATTATAAGTAATAAAAATAAGAAAACTTAATTTGGAAACAATTTAATAGCTATTAGTTCAAATGTAATAAATTATAAATTACAATTGCTAAATTAGTTTTATATTTTATGTTGCATTTTGTTCTTCAGGAACATACCCCCCTTGTTCTAGCTGCTCTTTGAATTTCAAGTACTCTCGTTTACGATCAAAGTGTTTTACCTAGTAAAAAGTGATAAATATGAAGATTTAATGAAAGAGAGACAGGCATTACATATAGGAAAATTATTTCCTTTACTGTTACTTATTATACTTCATAAGTGAAAAACATAATATTACAATTCTTCAATTATTATAATAAAGTACAAAATTTACCCATAGTGCAGGACAAAACTTTTCATATTGATCTCTAAATTTTTTACATTCTGTTTCTGTTTTGCCATCATCAAGACACTTCCAATATTCATCTCTATGATTCCAACATTTTGCACGATCTTCTTTACTTGGAAAAGACATCCTAAAATAATCCAATTTGTATATCCAATTATATATTACATATTTATGCTTTCCTTTTTTAAATCAATATGCATTCCTTTCCTTTAGCTTTACAAACTTATTAAATAAATTTTTATGTGTTTTTTAGTAAAAAAGAAATTACAATGTTCCAACGCAAAAGAATTAATTTGCACTTACCTATATTATATATTGTAGAACTGAAACCTTTTCGGAATTGAATAAATTTTCACTTAGAAATTCAAAATGTGTTACAAATACTTATTTTTACACAAATTAAAAATAAGAACCTTAAAATAAAACAAAATGATTACATAATCTTATAGCACTATAGTGTAATTTATACACCAAAAATCATAAGAAAAAATTGAACTTTTTTTATTTTTTAATTTAAAAACGACTTTCAAAGATATAACTTAGTGATTTAATTTTTTAATTTATTATATTGAATATAATTTGTGTTATAGGTTACTCAGGACAATAAATTCCATTTTATTAAATAATTTATAAAGTTTTTAATATTATAAAAGTATATATACATAAATAAAACAAGTAAATTGAAATTTGTATTATTTATGTATTTTACCTTCATATAAACGGAGATTACTTTATTTTTATGCTAATAGTGGAAAATAGAAACTAACCTGTCTATTAGTTTCCTTAAGATAAACCATGGAGTACTACACACAAGATTATATAAAATTTTGTTGTATCGAATTTACATTCGCTTTTTAAATTACAGATATATATAATCCTTATTTTTTTAATTTATTGTAAAATAGTATGAATATTCAACACAAATAAAGAGTCCTTGCAAGCATAATTTATTATTCTTAATGTGTACAGTCAAAAAATAGTACTTTATCATTTAAATTAGGATAAAAAATGAATTTTAATCCAATTATTTTACAAATAAAAAAGCACATGGGTATCCACATTTAATATTCCCACATGCACTTACTTACTAAATGGAAATGATATCAGTGTTGCCAATACCCATATATTAATTTGTGATTTTTAGGAATGAGTTTTATTTCTAGCTAAATTCGTATAAAAGTGGTAATACACTATCAATAAAAAATTAGAAATCTATTAACGACATTGATACCGGAATGAATTAAATTGCCACATTTATACTGTTAACATATAGCTCTGCCATTCTTATTTTATTGTGTACACACATACAAATACATGTGTATTAATATTTAATAAGTAACAATTACAAATTTCAGGTTCACAATGCAACATTCAACTTAATATGTGAAGGATGAAGCATTCAACATTATTAATTCAAATATATTATATATCACGTATAGTAGTAAAAACATACCAAATTTCTTTATACAATGCCAAAAACAATTTCCTATTTAAAATACTTCAATAATTAATAGTGTTAATTGCATCATCCTATGTACTTAAAAAGTAGAAGGTAATATTTTCTATGTAAGATAAATTATAACTAGAACTATAACAAAGCATGTGAACAACATTCCACCAACTAGGATAAATCCATCCTGTCTTGCTCTCTGCTCTATTAGTCTCATTGTGGTTTGTGAAAGTCCTAATGTATTCCCAATGTCTATTAATTTCCTATGAGCCCCTTTTAAAGTTATTCTTTGTGATCTCAAACTATCCAAAATACTACTACCACTTTGAAGGAGATCATCCATACCACTAACTGCATTTCTTAAACTATGATTGTGTTGTACATTATGATCTATCATAATATCAACATGATCATTTGTGGTAAATGTCCTAGACAGCAATGCTTCCCTTTCAGCTTCTTCTCTTTGTTTTCTAATCATTTTGTTGCGCCATGAATTTAAAGCAGCTGTGAGATGACGGCTGTCATATTTCAGTTGATCCACGCGCATTTTAGCATTCTGTCTTTGAGATATAGGGCCTTTACGGCATAATACATCTAATTTCTCGCAATTACTGAAATGTAAGAGTATGAAATTGTATATTATTATTTCATAATATTTTTATTAAATACATGTATACATGCAAGCAAAATAAATGTATCTATGAATTCTACATAGATCTATGACTTCTTTATATAATTACCTACATAAAAAATAAAAGTTTTTTTTTTAATAACTACCTGTTGATGAGGTTTATTTTTGATTCTATGTTGTTTTCTATTTCTTTTACATCCAGGTTAGGCGTTTTTTTCTCAAGCTGTGAGAAAAGATGTTGTGTTTCTTGGACCAGTTTGTTTGTTTGATGATATAGAGTTTCCATACTTAATAATAAATAGTTCCATTCGTACTTCGACAACTCGTGTCGGCCGTGTGCGAAAGTTATGACGTGTACGTATAAATACTACTGTCACTATCAGATCATCAAATGGGATATCTGTAACAGTGGTTAACAAAATCTATCAGAGAATAACTTCCAATAACTTTTAGATAGAATAAAGATAATAGATCAAACTTCAAAAAGCAAATAAATGAAGAGGGCCAAATATGAGACAGCCAAAGAGAAAACTCAAAGTGTTAAGATACATTGCACATATAAATAAAGGAGCGGATCCTGGAAACCATGCTAATACTATACAAATCATTGATAAAATCGGTAATAGAATACGGAATTAACATATACTTTCCAACAGGAAACCATTAAGCAAAAAACAGAAAAAATATAAAATGCAGAATAGCCATGCGCTATAATATAACAACGCCAGTTAACGTGATGAATGCAGAAGCAGGTATCATGGACATAGAAAATAGAATCGAATTAGTAACAAGAAAGTACATCATTAAGAAAAAAGCAGACTCCATAGAATAGAGATATAAAGATAGAGTGCGTGAGTGAGCTGAAAAAAAATATATGAATAGAAAGAGAATGCTGCATAGAAGCCCCTTATATCCTTGTCTAAAAAGCATGCATATTGGTACTTCGTACGTCCTACAGTAAATATGGAAATGTAAAACCTGTCAACGAGTGGCGTCAATGAGCGTGCCTGATTAGACAAGCACAGACAGGCCCTCTATGCAACATTCTCTTTCTATTCCCATATCACATCTACCTACACGGTAACATATGACTCGCGCACTTTATCTTTATTCTATGGCAGATTCATACAGCGCGACACTAGGGAGAATAAAAGACATAGTAGATATCACCATTATAGACACCAACACAAGAAATGATTATACAATAAAAACCTTTAAAAAATAAATCTGCTCATGGTGATTTTTTTATTTATTAAGTCATGAAATAACTATAAAATTTTCTTTTTTTTAATCAAAAATAAAACAATTTTTGTCTGCTTGAATGAAACGGAAAGTACTGACATCTTTAGGTTTAAATCGTATATAAGACATTTTTGTAAGTCAATGAAATTTATGTTGGTAAATATAATTAAAAGATTAATGAATCTATTGGATGTGTAATTTTTATTGCATAATAAAGTTTACACAACTTTTTTAAATTTATAGTGAGTTACTTATGACCATGATATATATTGGTTGAGAGTGATAACCAAATTGTGTTTGTCGCATGTAATACCTTCTAAAAGGAAATCTATCGTTCTTACAAATGGATATCGGTGAATTATTATCGTACAAAGTAAGTTTGTAAAACCGTATTATTTATGATACGAAAATTTGTATTATCTAAAATTTTGATGCTAACCTAAGTACACACAGTACATACAAGTTATTTTTATTTGCTATTCTGTGTTCATTTCGTATAGCCACCAAATACACCAAAACGACCAGTAGCAGGAGAAGAAGACGATGAAGATGAGTGGGAAAATGCTAAGAAACCTAAAAGAGTAATTAAAACTCCATATCATGCACGTCAAAGGCAACAGAGAGAAATCGAAGTGACTCCAGTTAGAAGCAGTGAACCTCCTACACCTATCAGAGCTGCTTTACCTTCACCAGCAAATGATGTTGTTGAACCACAGCTGACAGAGAAAGAAAAGCAAGATATATTAAAATACGTAGAAACTGAGGCTCCAGAAATAGAAGCATTAGATGAAGCAACACTAAAGAGAATGGTTCTTCTATTTGAAAAAAGGGCTCTTAGGAACCAAGAAATGAGAGTAAAATTCCCTGATCAACCAGAAAAGTATATCATTTTCTAACATTATGCATGAAAGATCAAGCTTAAAATATAAGATTGAAATTATATTTTAAAATTTAATAGATTTATGGAATCAGAAGTAGAACTGCATGAAACTCTCCAAGAACTTCATGTTGTTGCAACAAACCCAGATCTATATCCTTTAATGGTGGAATTAGGTGCTGTACCTTCACTGCTTGAATTATTATCTCATGAGAATACGGATATAGCAGTTGGTGTAGTGGACCTTTTGCAAGAATTAACAGATGTAGATATTTTACATGAAAGCCAAGAAGGTGCTGATACATTGATTGATGCTTTATTAGAACAACAAGTTTGTGCTCTTCTTGTACAAAACTTAGAGAGACTGGATGAATCAGTAAAGGAAGAAAGTGATGGAGTTTATAATACTTTAGGTAATAATTATTGTAAGTTGGTGAGTACCGTACTTTGAAATTAAAGTAAATATTACGGTACATTTTTTTCAGCTATTTTTGAGAATCTCTTAGAGTTTAGGCCAGAACTGTGTGGAGATGCAGGGAAACAAGGATTAATGCAATGGCTCCTAAGGAGAATCAAAGCAAAAACACCATTTGATGCTAATAAGCTTTATGCTAGTGAACTTTTATCTATTCTTTTGCAAAACACACCAGAGAATAGGTTACTTCTTGGTGAACTTGATGGAATTGATGTGTTATTACAACAATTAGCGGTAATATTATTTGTATTTTCCCTTTTTCTATATATTTTTTGTATTTCTTTCTTTATATTTTACTTATTTTTATACTTTTCATACATTTTTATGTGCTTTTAAAATAATTTCTATTAATTTTAGTATTACAAAAGACATGATCCTCAAACAGCTGAGGAGCAAGAAATGATGGAAAATTTATTCAATGTATTATGTTCAAGTTTAATGGCAACTGTAAACAGAGATAGGTTTTTAAGGGGAGAAGGACTGCAACTTATGAATTTAATGTTGCGAGAAAAAAAAATGTCTAGGAATGGTTCTCTTAAAGTAAGTAGCAGGTTAAAATTTATATTTAATTTGTTTCTTAATATCGATAAACAACAATGTTATATTCTAGGTATTAGATCACGCAATGAATGGCCCAGATGGAAAAGATAATTGTAGTAAATTTGTTGATATTCTCGGATTGAGAACAATATTTCCTTTATTCATGAAAACACCAACAAAAAATCGGAAGAGAATGCTTACAGCGGAAGAACACGAAGGTAACTAAACCATGAGAGATTTTTCTTAATTACGTTTGTCTGCGATATTTTCACGAATAATTATTGTTGTAGAACATGTAGTATCAATTATAGCAAGTATGCTGAGGAATTGCAAAGGTCAACAACGTCAAAGATTGTTGAGTAAATTTACGGAAAATGATTACGAGAAAGTGGATCGATTGATGGAGCTCCATTTCAAATATCTTGAAAAAGTGGAGGAAGTTGAAAAAAATACAAAGGTTAGTAAAAAGATATAAATTTTGAAGATATTTTATTTGATAATATATTTAATGATATAGGAAGATGAAGATGAAGAAGAATCGTACCTGAGAAGATTAGATGGTGGATTGTTTATTTTACAATTAGTAGATTATGTATTATTAGAGGCGTGTACCGGTTGTCCACCGGCAGTTAAGCAACGAGTAACACGAATTTTAGCTCAAAGAAGAGCATCTTTAAAAACTATAAGGCATATCATGCGAGGTATATTTTTTATTATAATATTTTAGTATTATTTTATTTGCTTTTAATTTAATTATTTTGTTTAGAATACGCGGGAAATCTTGGCGATGCTGGAGATTCGGAATGGAGAGAAGCAGAGCAACAACATATATTGCAATTAATCGATAAATTTTGATGTATACTTTTTAATGAAAGAGTTAAAAACTTTAAGCTTTTTGCCTTTTTGTAAATTTTTTCCAGAAGTAGCAATCCTATGGATATCTATCACATGTATAAAATATATCATTAGAAATATTCATTTTTATATGCAAAGATTAAAAGAAGCGTTTGTAAAAAATTAAATGAGTGTCATATATTTTATCGCAGTTTGTGTACAAGTAAGTTGTGAAGTAAGCACTAAATCAAATTATACGACGATTAATCGATTTATTGTTTTAATTCATATCAACATGATTGATAATGCTATGTTGTACGATAGCGCGTAAAGCCTTGTACTCAAAATTTATAATTGATTTTAGTTCTCCGAAGAATTTTTTCACCCACTGATGAAATATTTCGTAACGATATCATAGATGCACGTTAATAAAATGGGTGAAAATAAAGCAGTGATCACAAGTCGTTATTGTTTGTATCATGTCAGTTTTGAGCAAGATAATCCCAAGTTTAATCGATGTTGTCCATCCATACGAATCGGAAGATACCGTTTATAACTTTCAAAATTACTACGGCGAAATTCTATTATCGGGCTGTTTGTGGAGGAGCTGTTATCGTAGAAAAAAATTTGGTTTTTACGAAAAATTCATTGTTGACAGTGGCTGTGTGAAATACTTTCATCGATTCAACGATCGTGACAACGTATTTCATTGTCAGAAATACTTTTCCTATTTCGAGTTCATCATTTGTCAAGTAAGTACAAGATTCTATTTAAATTTCTCAAAATTAAAAATGACGGGTCAATAACCCGGTGTATACAATACGAACATCACAACTACGAATGATACGTGTATCTACCACGTAATTGTGCTTCGTACTTGACACTCTGTGGCAAATCTATATTTATGGTAAAATTTAACATTTATTTCGTGAAATTTATAATTAAATGTAATAAAAAAAGAATGCGCGCGTTTTCTCTCAGACTCACCGTAACCATGGTAACCCACGTGGACGCATGCGCTTACAATTGGTATGCTTAATCGTAGTACCGTGTCTTCTCAGTTCTATATCAGTTATAGTCGTACATGCACTTATTAAGACTGAAAAGAGATGTTTAATTAATTGAATTTAACGTTTACTATCAATCACGTGTTCAGAATCTACAGTGTTCACACATGGTATTCTAGCTGTCTGTTTCGAATGTGCTGCCAAATAGATATGTGTTATGATATGTATAAGTGGGGAAGAGGGGGTCAACGTTCGGTGAACGATCGATCGCGATTGGTTTAGCCGCCCAGCTCTCTACCAATCGGAGCGCGTGCTGCGCCCTAACATGAAAGTCTGCTGCACGAGACAGGCCAGTTTGCTGTTGCAAGCTTCAGAGGTGCGGTTGTTGGTTGTGTAAGCCGGTTCGCGGTGTTTTCGCTGTTTTTAATTTTCACGTTTTACAATTCACCGCATAAAGTTGAAGACACTTGTCGCAGATATGCCGAGGAAAAACGATATCCGTGCGTGATGCGAGTGGTAAATTTTGTGCACCCATTTGTGTTGCAATTACGACCGACTGAATTTGAAGAAAACTGTTACGAGAAAGTGTCAATTCCTCTGAAGAAACAACCACGGTATGTCACCTGTCAATTTCATCCCTTGTTTTACGATTAATTCGTGCATGTTATTGATTGGTATCGTGCTCTGGATCGGAGCGTGCGTACGTGCGTGTACCAGCATATTTACGAACACGTATTGTGATTCAGAAATTCAAAATTATTTTATGAATGGTTTTTCAATATTTATATGACACTCGATGTTTAGAAAATATTGCAACACACCATTCATTATAGCATAAGTATGTACAGTTTACTTCATCTTTATATTTTCTTGTTGACCGTATACGTATATGCGTATCCTTTTACCTAGCATACATATCCAAAAAAAAGTTCATAGAAATTAGCATTAACGACTAGTGCCATTTATAAAATCGTCGCATATTTATAATTAGCTATCATCCGGTATATTATAAATTAAGCTTCGATATTATGAGATTTTACGACGCAATCAACCAGACAGTCGATTGAACCATGTTAATATTCCATCGAACAACATTATCATACACTCATCTCTGGTGCTAACTTGTTCCTCACATCGCATTCCTAAAATAAACGCTTTTTACGGTGTCGTTAAAATTCGTAGTATGTAGTTTCTGTAGCACGGTTGAAAACGAAGTTTTCGTTTCGCTCGCCATAAAGAAGGGAAGGAAAAAGAAGAATAGAAGAAAACGATATCGAATGACGGTGATCACGCGGATAATTTTATAATTCCATCTGTGTATTTGACACCGTGGATTAGCATTCCGGCGAGTTGTTAAACTGTGTTCTAAAATTAGATCGTTTCAGATTTATCTGTGAAGCTTATTTGCGCGATTCTAATCGTTGCAGTCTGGATTGTCTGTAATTCGGCCGATAGTCGCGCGTGAGGCTCGCGCATGTAATGAACATTGGATAATTTTCGTTCGTAGGGCTTCTTCGTTCTCTCGTAACGTAACTCCAGTTGAGCGGTGTCTTCTTGCTACTCAAAACCAATTTCGCGATTGCGTACCTGACGCGATTGTTTGTCGGTGACGTAACATTGCTTCTTCCGATTTGTTGTTACGTGCACGTGCCGCGGAGCAATGTTCGTCACGTGATCGCTGGAGCTACTGCTTAGTGCTTATTCAATAGCTCCGTGTAAATCTCTGAATTATTCAAGGTCATTTCCCCCATTATAAGTTTGGAGAAAAGATTTATCATTATTTTAGGTCATTAAAAAATTTTAATCGATTCCTACATCTTTATTAATGATAGTACCTAATCGACTAGATGTGTTTAAAATTAAAATTTTGTGTTTAAACTATTCTCTAACTTAACTGAATGTTTTAACCTAACTTAATTGAGATTTAACACAAAACTCTAATCCAAATTTGGGAAATTTGGTAATCTAATTGAAACTTTAATTTAACTTACCTGTAAATTAACTCAAAACTACAACTCAAACTTAGCTTCCTTTGTCCGCGAACTGAACGCTGTTTTGTGAAAGTAACATTCTGCACTGAGTTCAATATAACTTCTGAAACAGAAATAATTTTTAGACCGGCCGTTCTCTCAGTTCAAAACTTGTATTTTTTTTGTTCTACTTGAGTAGTATTCGAATATAGATTACAAGGATGAATAAAAAATTATTGGCGCTTCGAAACGAAATTTAGTCAAAGAAGAAATCGTTCTTTTAATTCTAGCATTTTTAAGTTACATTAATTCTCTTAATGGGGGGTTAACAAGTCCAAAGCAACTTTATAGCGCAAATAACCGCGAGAGGATTCTTTACTGTATAAATTGATAGGAGTGAATCATTCAGGGGTTGAGTTATCTCTTTCCTCGAGGGATACGGTAATTATTTCTGTAAATTACATGCTCTTGTAGCTTAACCACGTTGCGTAGTTGCACGTCACTGGAAAGGGGAGAAAAAGGGAGAAAGTTGGGAACTTTTTATGGTTTGGAACGGGATGTGAAGTTGCATGTAAAATTATCCATTAATATGTTTAAAAACCTGACGAAATTTTCTCGACAGAAATTAAACGATTGAATAGCAAACGAGCAGACATTAATCTCAAATGAATACGTTGGTTAGTTTTGACATTGGAAAACGTTTAGATAAAAAACACGATAGAAATGATACAAAAGTTGCGAGGTTGAAAATTTGTTGGTTCTGAGATATATAGCAAAGGTTTTAATCCCTTTGCCGTGGTTTATCGATTCTCGTCGGTGCAGAATGCACGCTAGTGCATCACTATGAATGCTGCGGACGACGTGTGACCTTGAACGAGTGGCTCGCGAAATCCAAATAGAACCCGGGCAAACAAACCCTATGGTACTTTTCAAAGCGATACTAGTCATTTTTCTGTTCTGTTTTAAATAGTTTTAATATCCACCTACTTACATCTTCACCGTCACTATCCACCCTTTTGTACGAAGTTTGTCTTCGTCTCTTGAAAATCCTCGAATTTTTGTTTCCATGTGATCCTCTTCTTGTTTCCATGGCTGATCGACACACGGGTATTTAACAGTTTCTCTAATTAACTTATAAATGGATTATATTATAGTTTAAAACGTTGTTTTTAATTAGTTCATATTGCTTAATTGGTAGGTTTAAAAAGTTTCACCTTTCGAAAGGATTCGAAAAAACGTTCGCACGGTTGTTCGTCTCGAAAAGAGCGACGTGCCTTGAGAGAACGGCGGGCTGCGGGTAGATTGAAATACTTATTTAAGGAGGATCCAATTAGGCTGCCATTCCTGGAATTGCCGCGGCCAGGTTTACGCCATTATCGATCAAACTGTCCCAGATTCGCGAATTCTTCGTTGCTGAAGCGTTCATGCACAACGCTCCGGCTATCCTATGCGCCTATAGTCGAAGCTTTCTGTTCAGTCTTGATAAAATCACCACGTAAATACTTGGCTTCTACCATTGAAAAATCCCTTTTCATTTCTCGATCGGTTTTCCCTTGTTTTTTTCTTTTGGTGGAGATTAAACGAGAAAACAATTTAATTTCCGACTTTGTCCTCGAGTTTGATCCGTCTATCGACAAGCAAAAAAAGAAAAAAAATATGACTGAAGAGCGTCTGAGAAATTTGGAAAGCTCGTTTCTTTTATGCTCGAAGTAATTCGAGGCTGAAAGCGGTCTGGAGTCGAGTCAATTAGCCAGAAGTGGATGGAAATCAAGGGTGGTTAAGGAATCCCTCTTACGAGCGACTTTTTCCCACTGATTCTCTTCGCATGGAATCTATTTTTTTCCTTTTTCCCAACTCAACCCCGCTCCTCGTCTGCTCTCTGAAAGTTCGTGTCTGAAAGGCTCGTGTGGCCACTCAAGTCGCGAAAACGCTGAGCGAGCTACTCAAGAGCGACGAGCGAGCACGCCTGGTTGGGACGTGTAAGCCGCTTTCGCGAAATTTACGCTAATTTTTAGGTCAGATACGCGCCAAACTGACTATTAATTTCGAATGGTACCCATGGATGATCTCTCATCACGAAATCTTGCTCGCGCGATCGATCTGCTTTCACAGAGAAATTTGCATAGGACATTCAGCGAAGTTTCTATACCTTTTACAAAACATAGAACTTTTACAAAATGTGGAAGAGACGAGAGAAAGTGAATAGCGTCGAGAGAAACTGTTGATGAAGAATAATCGGACAACAATCTATCAAGATGAAATGTAACATTTAACTAATCGATAAACAAATTGGTAATGATTAAGATTAGTATAGTTTCGGCAATTAAACGTAGAGGTCCCAGTTTCTCGTCGATCAGCTGATCGCTGAAGAAACGAGTCTTTTGAATAGCAGCCAACGTCCTCGTTACCATTGCTCTCTCAATGTTCCCAGCTTCTTTTACGTACCTTTCGACGAAAACATCCCTTACAATCCAGCCTTGTTGTTTTATTCGTCGGCTATTTACTTCCCGAAGTTTTTGAACGGTACTGTGGTGAAGAAATAATCGTACACAGGCTGAATCGAGCGTTTCTTTTGCAATCGGCCGAAGGAAGACGAATACGGGATTATGGTCATTTCAGGCGGTTACATCACGCGCGTTCATTCCCCGTCGAATTACTCGTCTTCGATGCTAACCCTTTTTCCTTGATTTTGCAATAGTCGCGTTGCATTAATTATGCGCTTCCGTGGGCAGTGGCATGCGCGAACGTCGAGAAACTACCACGATTTGCATGCACACTATTGCACACAGTGGTCGATTATGTCATCGGACGAACGCGGAGGAATTAGTCGGACAATGTTATCTTTGCGCCTCGAGTCATCGTGAAGACTCCGTCTTGCTATTTCAATATCAGGTGTGTCTTGTTTGATTCATTGGCAGCAACCTCTTCTAAAAGTAAAGTAGACTAATTCTTTGTTTTACCCTGCTATTATTCTCGCATCTATATAACCTGAAATGTCAAATGTCATACGTGTTACGGTTATTACTATTATTTTCTATAAGAAGTTAAAAGTAGTTTTGTTTATCCGATAGCAGAATTGCAAGAAGTCTTCGCGTTAAAGATATACGTCACTATTCTCCGAGTTCTTTATTCTTTTACCATCCCCTTTTCATCCTTTTACAACATAGCTTAAGCTGTCGTGGATAGTATTACATGTACATATTTTCTGCGTATGACGTCAAGATATCGGAGAAATAGTCATTTTCTAAATTCATTCTGAATTTCTCGTGATCTTGTTAGTGAGTGAAAGGGTTAGTAGTTTAAAAAAAACAGGTGTATTAGAAACTATAGGAGACTTCTGTAGGAGGTAATAGTTATTACACGTGGTCCGAATTCCGGATAACTTTTGTGTCACCCCGTGATTTTTCAGTTGCACGTGAGTACGTAGAAGGGTAGAGAGAGAGAGAGAGAGAGAGAGAGAGAGAGAGAGAGAGAGAGAGAGAGAGAGAGAGAGAGAGAGAGAGAGAGAGAGAGAGAGAGAGAGAGAGAGAGAGAGAGAGAGAGAGAGAGAGAGAGAGAGAGAGAGAGAGAGAGAGAGAGAGAGAGAGAGAGAGAGAGAGAGAGAGAGAGAGAGAGAGAGAGAGAGAGAGAGAGAGAGAGAGAGAGAGAGAGAGAGAGAGAGAGAGAGAGAGAGAGAGAGAGAGAGAGAGAGAGAGAGAGAGAGAGAGAGAGAGAGAGAGAGAGAGAGAGAGAGAGAGAGAGAGAGAGAGAGAGAGAGAGAGAGAGAGAGAGAGAGAGAGAGAGAGAGAGAGAGAGAGAGAGAGAGAGAGAGAGAGAGAGAGAGAGAGAGAGAGAGAGAGAGAGAGAGAGAGAGAGAGAGAGAGAGAGAGAGAGAGAGAGAGAGAGAGAGAGAGAGAGAGAGAGAGAGAGAGAGAGAGAGAGAGAGAGAGAGAGAGAGAGAGAGAGAGAGAGAGAGAGAGAGAGAGAGAGAGAGAGAGAGAGAGAGAGAGAGAGAGAGAGAGAGAGAGAGAGAGAGAGAGAGAGAGAGAGAGAGAGAGAGAGTCTGTGGCGTAGAAATCGCGAAAGTGAACGGTTCTGGTCGAGTTCCCATGGACTTTCTAGATCAAAGAGGTCCGACGATTCGCGCTATTTTGCATGCGTGTACGGCTCCACTGTGTCGTCGTCACACAAAGTGGTTTAATCGAGCTTACCGACAAGAAACTCGCCTCTAATCGTCAAGAACCATTCCTCGACTGGTGATTTTCTTGCTTCGAAATCTCTCTGTGGTAGCCACTTTGTGCATTGGCCTCTAGTTAGATACTTTTTTTTAATGGTTTGGCTAATTGCGGAAAACACAGAACCAGCATTCGAGGGATTCTATTATACGTTGGTAATGCGTTTCCCGTGGCACTTTGCGACTACATGAGACACAAAGAGGTATTATAACATGATACAATGGCATTATAGTGTAAAGACAAAGGCTGATCTCGTTTAGCTTCCGTCGAGACAATCTACTTTTACGGATGATCGATAGTGTTTGCAAATTTATTCACGTAGAAGGTATTAGTTGATGTAGCAAATCGAATTATCGTGGCCATAAATAATTCTATAGAACGAGCATTGAATAATCAATGGCAATTAGGACGAGTAATACGGTCGTAGATATTCGTCTATAAGCGTGATGTTACATTGATCTTGTATAGCCGAATACGCATGGAAACGATGAAAAACCATATGGAAATATCGTATCTCGGCTAGGTCAACGACCTCGAGTATGCAAGCATAGCATTGTGATCACGGCATAAGATAAATTGGCAGTAAGCATAGCTCATAATCGCGGCAGCTGACAGTACACCGTCTTCTAAGGTCTTCGCTCCAATGCATGACGAACGTGCAACGAAATATGTACTCGTTTCTATATCGGTGACGCAACACGTTCGATCGTACTGTTAGAAAATTTCTATCTCTCTCGTGTATACACCTCTCAATCTGTTCCTATCTTGTTTCCTTTCGGATAAACAGATTCTTCTCAGAAATTAGAGTTTCTCCAACTCAATGCTCGACGCAAGTTTAAATGTTTCTTTCGTAAACATCAAAGAACGCGAAGCTCCGCTTTTAGCGATTTAAGGAAGCTCATGGATCGCTCAATGACATTGCAATTTGGCAAATTACAGACCAGCTAATCCCAAAGATCGATGAACGCTGACATTTTGGCCCGACGATGTTTTGGCGATGGCGCCCGCTGCGTCGAGACGGTCTCATCGATCCATTCACTCTCACTGCCGTTTATGTGGCCCGGTCTTCTCGCTTCCTCCAATTTCCTTTCCTCTTTTCCTTCTCTCTTTCCCTTGCCCTGACAACCTGCTACCTTACACCTTGCTCCTATCATAGCACTTCTATCGACCTACGCTTGTTTCGCTTCCTCGTTCTCTCTCCTGTACGGTCACCGGTTCTTTCCTTCGTTTATTTTCGCGCAAGTTCGTTTGCTTCTTCACCCTTGTGTTCACTCTTCCCTGGGTTTGTCCATTTTGTTCTTTAATCTTCGTCAAAAGACAAAACAATCCGGAGCTCTCTTTATTCACGATTCTGTAACGCTCGAACGATCAAGAGATTTTTAGGATGATGAAAAGTACGGATGAATTTTGGGAAACGTTTGACCCAGATTGACGAAGTTCGACTAGGTTACTTTCGAGCGTTTTACATTCGCGGGACGTTCGGTTTTGCGACGCTGGACACATATTCGATAGAGTTATAGAAATTCATTCACGAGAACGCGCGAGTTATGACGCGTGTAAGAGCGACAAGGACGTGCGAAGAGTTAGAAATGCCGGCCGTATTACCGAAGGAAGGCACGTAGGAATCGAGGGGAACAAAAAGTTAGAGTCATAACGTTTTAATGAACAACTGTGATTTGTCATGTTGTAGGTGATGTTTAAAATAAGAAGTATTTAGGAGCCGCAGATATCAACATATATACGATATTTTATTTTAATAAACGATAAATGTATTTGTTTTTGGTGAAATTCAAAATTTAATACATCATGTTTCGTTGGAAGATATTTCAAAGTTTCTGCGAGGATCGATGGACGAAAACGGTTCAGGAAATTGTAGACAAAGGTTGACGTAGCCTTGGAGGGAAAAAGCCGCACCTTCCCACGGAAAGTCGCGTAACCGGTGATCACCGGCGAAGGTCTACGGTGTCTAATGAAATTGCAGCCTCGTTTCGATAAATCATCGAGTGATCAGCACTCGAAGCATTCACCACACCCTTCTGACCTGACCCAGAAATCGGAAGGTGGGCGCGCCAACCCTGTAGACGACGAAAGGTATCCTTTGAACTTTAGCTAGGTGGTCATCGACTGTCGAACGAACGAACCTAAACGTGTCCGTATCCGGATCTCGTGGCAAGTATCCGACGATCCAGAGATCGATCGACAATTTTCTTGGACGCGAAGGAAACAGTGCAATTCGGTGAATCCACTTGCAAGTGGACGCTGCAACACAGCATACAGATCCGAAAATAACAACGATTCCTGGCGTCTCTTCAGCTGCTCGTCTATGTCCGAGCGTTATTAAATATTGCTCGACGTATTTGAATTAGATGTTTGTCGAGTCGGGTTGCGTATAGTTTCACAAGCATGAATTTTCTTTGTTCTTAATCTTCCACTGCCAAAATAACGTTGATCGGCAGTCGTTTATACGAAATATCGCATTTTGCGCTCGAAGAATTCCGTAGCTCCGTTTTCCTGGCGGAAAAGTCGGACGATAGAAAACACAAACGGGAAGTGGTTTCCCGGGGCGCTCGATTAAAATATTGATTTATCGTGAGGCGGTTGGGAAAGAAAATATTGGCCCTTTTCCATCGTCACACTTGATTCCTTTCTCTCGTCCTTCTTTGGAACGATTCCGATGAAATTGACCGATTCACGGGTTTATTTGCTCGAGTACCAAGTTCGAAGTGCACACGGGAAATCGTTCCTTAACCTAGCAAGTGCTTTTCTTGAAGGCTATTTGTGTCATAGCTCGAATACTATCGTATGCTGCTGATTTTCTATATAACGTGAAACCACGTGGAAAACGTACTTTGTTTCCTCCTTATTCTTCTCGTAACTGTGGTCTTCATCTTCGTATCTCGATTTCAGT